AAAACCCTTTAGAATCTTGGCATTCAAAACACTCTTAATCCTGACAAAAATGCATTTGGCTAATGATAGATATATGGTGGATTCAGAGACTACTTGGGCAGGATGAGAGACTGCAAAATGAATAGCTACTTCTTGGGTAGTAATAAGACCCTTAAAAACAAGCGGGAAAGCAGCTCAGGGCACCAATTTGATGCTCAGGTTGCGGAGATCTTACAGGCATACTTGCAAGTAGTGAGGAGGAGTGTGTTGATGGAATTTAAGGTAGAAAATGTTAAAATACATACCTCTATTGCAGAGACTATGAAGATTCCAGAGAGATCAGGAAAAAATCTGAAAAAATTTGGAAGCCTGAACAAAATGAATTTTTTGAGAGAGGCTTTTGAAGAACTCAAACTGTTTATCTGGAAGTCAAACTACACTTAGAAATTGAGCTTTAAATTTAAATAGACATGCACTCAAAGTAGAATATCTGATGGTTTTGTTTCTCCTTATATTTAAGAATTCTCACTCCTGTATTTCAGAAGGATTTTGTCAGTAAACTCAGTATTTGTGTTTCCTGATTTGACAGAACAGGAAAGGGATATGGAACACAAATATTTATCAGTCTTTACCACTCAGACTTCAACCTAGTTTGCACGGGATATGTAACCACATTATTAACGCTATATTACTACAATCAGTTCCTTAGCACATTGATTTGGTTTTGTAAGTTCTTGTAAAATTGAACAGTTTTCTTCCCTGTATTTCTCTCCATGAAATGCAGTTTCTCAGCATTTTTCTTTGTGTTGATATATCTTCTCTTGAAAGAGAAATATAAACTATACTCATTATAGATAAGATAATAGTCTGTAGATCTTGTTGAAATACTCTCCCAGACTTTTTCAGTAGCTTGGCAGTCAAGTTCAAGAAATTGGATAGTCAGTAAAATCAAAACTTGTGACTTTTTTAATGATGTGAGAAATGAAACTGAGTTGCATGAGTGTTTGGAAAGGCGATTTGACAAAGCAATTTCACATATGTCTGAATCTGGATTTCAGTGGTTTGAGGCTTCTGGGGAAGCTTATCAATTTCACTTTATGGCCCCAGTTGTCAAATCTTTGTGATGTCTCTATTTACTCTCTCTGGGTTTTGGACTGATAACCTTATAGGACTACACATGATTCCATTGAAGAAAAGGCTACAGTAACTTTCAGCTAACCTGTGTTACCAGAATTTTCACCAAGGTAAGTTAATATTTTGAGCAAGGAAAAACTTCAGGCTGGAAGATGATTAGGGATTTGGCCTCTTTGCCGGAGTCCATTGCAAATTGCTGCTTACTAGCAGCTGAGAGGAAGTTCTGTGAAAACTGTTCTTGCCCACTGGAAGTTTGGAATTTCAGTTCAGTAGTTGATTCATGCTGGCTGCTGAATGTCCAGGGAGTGAGCAGTGGTCACAATGCTGTTGATATGTTACCAGCAGCGATTCAGTGTGCCAGAGGCCTGTACTGAAAGGAGTGGATTGTTGTCATGATGTAATGAGAGTTTAATTGCAGTGGGTAAAGCTCTGTACCAGTGTAAAAGGTATATTGGTGTTTACTTAAGCTGTTTTTAGGTTGATGCTATTCAAGTCTCTGGCTCTGCATATTGAAACTAGTCCAATGAGGCCCAAGTGTGCACTTAAACTTTCCTTTGAGAGCTGTACTGGCTGATACAGAGCAAAAGCTTCTAACAGGTTTAGCTTCTGTTCAGCTTCTAATAAAGTCCTTGCACCTTGATTCATTTCCTGGTGTAGTTTCTGTATGTATCAGTTGTGTAGCTTGCACACTGTCTAATGTTACAGAAGAATATCAGTATTAAGCTACTTAAAAACATGTTTAAGAACAGTTTCTTACATAGTGGGATACTGGCATGCATGTGGCCACATCTAGAGCAAAGAAAACAGTGAGTCTTAAAAAAAAATCTTTTTATTAAAGCTGTACTTGAAAAATAGTATTATATTTTAAATACATAGAGAAAACTGTTTTACATAAATTTTGCATTTCTTAGAGCTAAAAAGGAGGGGTTAGATGGAGATCTGAAGAATCCAACTTCTCCTTATTTAGGGCTTAAAAAAAAATAAATTAGCAGAGACTTTTTTTCTCTGCCTCGGAAGCACACGTTTTCTACATCCCATGTACTTGAACAATTGATTTTGGGTTTTTTTCCCATCCACCTGTAGTACTGTTCTGTTCGAATTGCCTTGCTCTCTATTTTGACTGTTCCTTTTGCCTCAGGTCTTGTTTTATACTCTTGAGTTTTGTTCCCATTGGGTATAGCAATCTCAAATTCTGTTGCTCAACTGATAATCTGGTACTTCAGGATATGGTGTTCAGAATACTCTGCGTAACTAAGTGGTCTTCTAACGTGGTTTTATAATTTGTAGTAGAATCATAGAATAGATAGGGTTGGAAAGGACCTTAAGATCATCTAGTTCCAACACCCCTGCCATGGGCAGGGACATCTCACAATAACCATGTCACCCAAGGCTCTGTCCAACCTTGAACACTGCCAGGGATGAAGCATTCACAACTTCCTTGGGCAAACCATTCCAGTGCCTCTTCACTCTTACAGTAAAGAACTTGCTCCTTATATTCAATCTAAATTTCCCCTGTTTCAGTTTTAACTGATTACCCCTTGTCCTATCGCTGCAGTCCCTAATGAAGAGTCCTTCCCCAGCATCCTTATAGGCTCCCGTCAGGTACTGGAAGGCTTCTATGAGGTCTCCACACAGCCTTCTCTTCTCCAGGCTGAACAGCCCCAACTTTCTCAGCCTGTCTTCATAAGGAAGGTGCTCCAGTCCCCTGATCATCCTTGTGGCCCTCCCCTGGATTTATTCCAACAGTTCCATGTCCTTTTTATGTTGAAGATGCCAGAACTGTACACAGTGCTCCAAGTGAGGTCTCATGAGGGCAGAGTAGAGGGGCAGGATCACCTCCTTCGACCTGCTGGTCACGCTTCTTTTGATGAAGCCCAGGTTACGGTTGGCTTTCTGGTAGTGCTGTGGCTGTAAATGGCATTATGGCATTTGTCTGTTCATGTTTCAGCATGACAGCACTCCCTGCGTGTCTTCAACTTTTAACCATATAGGCTCGACAGGGAGGTTGGAGAGGGATAAAGATGCTGCTTTCAGTGACAGTACTGGCTTGGGGTATTTGAACATAAACCTAATCTAGAAGATTGTGTTCTTATTGCTTCTTAAAATGTTAGGTTAACAGAGGGTTAATACTCTATCCAGTAGGCCAAATGGCCCCACTTTTATCTAGCAAATTAATGTGTGGTTTGGTTTATTTCCTAAAAGACTGTATGTAAGTACTATCAATATATATTTTTGTTTGTTTATCCAAATTGGGGGGGAAATCTCTTTCTCACTGTATAATTTTCTGATTACAACTCTGAATTCACACTATTGATTTTTGCTTTGTATTACGAAGTTTTTTGATGAAGGTTTATTCTTGCCCTTTCAGAAGCTACAGAGTATTTTTGAATATGTCAGCCGCCGTATTCTTTAAATAACTAAAATTTGACATTCCATTAAAAAGGTTGCTGTTGCAGCATTGTATTTTGGCAGAAATTACTCTAGGAATCTTACAGTGCTCAGTATGTCCACCTCTGTACTATGGGCATCAAGCCTATTGCTCAGGATAAAAATGTTTGCTCAGGCCACAGAAATTCAGGATTAAAACATTCTTGTTGCTTATTTTGTACTGACCAGCTCTGTCATCCTTGTGTTTGACAAATGGAGGAAGAAATCTGTCAAATGTTATTAAGTTTTTTTGTTTGGGTTTTGTTTTTTTTTTTTGCTATTTATTGTCTCTTGGCTTGTGTGCCAAGTGCACTGCTGACTGTTCCCCATTTCATTAGTGTTAAGGTCTTTATTTCCATATAAAAATTATTTGTGATCTCACATAAAATAAACTAGTATTTGAGTTGTAAAACTGATCAAAAAATATGTATATAAAAAGAAAAAAAAAAAAAGAGAGAGAAAGAAGTGTTAAAAAATTCTCCAGAATACTGTGTCACAGGTTTCAGGGGCTTGGTCATACTTTTCTTTCCGTCTTGGCTTGTGCCTGTCTCCTTCCTTCCCTATTCTGTGTAATTTGAAGCATGTTTTCTTTGTTACAGCTATTTAATTATTTCTATTACCACTGCTTCTGCGGTTCCACATTCTAAAAGGGTGAAGGACTAATCATGTTGTGCTCTCTTTTCATTTGGCCTTCAGGAGCTATGCAGGCAGCATATGCATTTTCTGTTCTGCTCAGCACTGGAAACAGTATTCCACTAGACTGCAGATTTCAGTGAATATAATATCTTATTCAGCAGATGTATTAAAATTCTGCTATGTCTCATTTCTAAGTAGGCTTATTTTGGGCAATTTTTTTTTGGTTTTGTTGGTCAAGCTGAATTTCAGTTATTTGTGGGAAGGGTTCTGGGTGTTCTCTGCTGTGCTTGAAAAAAAGCAAAATCTCCTTTTTAATCCAGTCTTCTGAATGGCTTCTGCCTTTTTTCCTCCAAACATCTCATCTTCAATTATGAGATTTCGCCATATGGCTTGAAATTTTTTCACGCGCATTACACTTAAGCTTTACCTCGTATGTTCTTTCCCATCCCTGATAGTGTACTTCTGAAGTTCTCTCATGTTTGTGTAACCTGTTTCTTTATTAAATAATTTAGGAAATATCCTTATTTACAGAACTCATTGACTTCTAGAACTGGACTAAACCAGAACGCCTCATCGTGCCGCACCCAGCAAACCTGGATGGATTTTTCTGTACAATTAAGATGAAGTTGATGAAGCTTCTTAATGGCCTATGTGCAGTTGTGCTAAGTCTTTATTGTAATCGGCTAGTAATAGACTCAAGATGAGCTAGAACCTTACTCTTGGATTGCTCACCACCTAATTATCAAAATGGATGATTTCAGGCAAAGATTGCATGCCTTCAGTTAATCTTGCATCTTTTTCACATCAGTAACTCTTTCACACAGATCCTTCTTTTCGTCTTTTATTTGGCTTTTTCAACTGATCTCAAAAAACTGTTATGATTGAGGCCATTCTTACTGAAGGTCTGACTCTTTGCCCATGTTGCCAAAGCTTTGAATCTACAGAAAATGAAAGTAGTATGTCGAAGAGGTGGGTAATTGCTGAGTGTTCTGTAGTTTGTCTGGAACTGCAGATTTTTTTCTCCTAGGGGTTATTTGCATCAGAATTGACTTCCATATTTTTGCTAATATATGCAATATGTTATTGCAGAAACAGATACAGCTTGGGTATTCTCAATTTTTGTATAGGAATCCCCCCCCCCAAAAGCCAGTCAGGATGAACAAATGAAAATATTACGGAGAAAATGTAAGTTTGCTACTTTAAATTGTCTCAGTGGTCTGTTAGAATGTTGAAAAGCTGAGCACATCAGGGCATCAAATAAATCTGAATTTAGCCAACTTTTTAAATACTATCTTCTGAAATTTCTGGTAAATCCATGCTAGCTATTGTCTTTTTGTAATTAAGCTGCTGCTTCTGTGAGGTGGCTTTTTTGAGTCCCTCTTTGAATTTTCATTGTATACTGACTTTAAGTGTCTAACATGGAACTGTGAATGTCATAGAACCTAGATCCTTACAGTCATGAAGCAGTAGTTGGCATTGTAAATTTGTTTTGGGGTTTGTTTTGTTTTTTTATTTTTTATTTTTTTTTTTAAGTAAATGAAAGAGAAATCCTTCCAATTCTAAAGAGTCGTACAGAATGATAGGTGAAAGAATACCTGGTGGTAGTGGTGGTGAGGTTCTTAAGGAGTCATTAAATTAACTGGTCAGGTAATGCTTTCTTGAAGGTAAAGCAGAATTGAGTATGAAGAGCCAGAGCAATGCAGTTAATGGGAGGGAGGTTAGAAGTTAAATGAAACCTTACCTTTATAAAAAACAACTTAGTTGCTCAACTGTCTTGAAGATCAGGTATTTTCTCAAGTTTAAAAAAATACATGGAAGTCACTCGAGTCATATGCCAAAATAACTGTATGCAATAATAATTTTGAATTTAAACAAATATAATGGAATTATAGAATATTTAGGGTTGGAAAGGACCTTAAGATCATCTAGTTCCAAACCCCCTGCCATGGGCAGGGACCTCTCATGCTAAACCATGTCACCCAAGGCCCTGTCCAACCTGGCCTTGAACACCATCAGGGATGGAGCATTCACAACTTTCTTGGGCACCCCACCCTTACAGTAAAGAACTTCCTCCTTGTATCCAATCTTAACTTCCCCTAAGTTTTAACCCGTTACCCCTTGTCCTACCATTGCAGTCCCTAATGAAGAGTCCCTCCCCAGCATCCTTATAAGCCCCCTTTAGATACTGGAAGGCTGCTATGACATCTCCACGCAGCCTTCTCTTCTCCAGGCTGAGCAGCCCCAACTTTCTCAGCCTGCCTTCATATGGGAGATGCTCCAGTCCCCTGATCATCCTCGTGGCCCTCCTGTGGACTTGTTCCAAAAGTTCCATGTCCTTTTTTTGTTGAGGACACCAGAACTGCGCACAATGCCCCAAGTGAGGTCTCACGAGGGCAGAGGGGCAGGATCACCTCCTTCGACCTGCTGGTCACGCTCCTTTTGATGCAGCCCAGGATACGGTTGGCTTTCTGGGCTGCGAGCACACACTGAAGCCAGCTCACGTTCAGTTTCCCATCGACCAACACCCCCAAGTCCTTCTCCACAGGGCTGCTCTGAATCTCCCTTCCCCTCCCCTCCCAGCCTGTAGCTGTGCCTGGGATTGCTCTGACCCAGGTGTAGGACCTTGCACTTGGCATGGTTAAACTTCATAAGGTTGGCATCAGCCCACCTCACAAGCGTGTCAAAGTCCCTCTGGATGGCATTCCTTCTCTCCAGCATATCAACTGAACCACACAGCTTGGTGTCAGTGGCAGACTTGCTGGAGGGCGCACTCAATCCCACTGTCCATGTCAGTGACAAAGATGTTGAACAAGACCGGTCCCAACACTGATCCCTGTGGGGCACCACTCGTTACTGGTCTCCAGCTGGACATTGAGCCATTGACCACAACTCTTTGTGTGTGGCTATCCAGCCAGTTCTTTATCCACCGAGTGATCCATCTATCAAATTGTTGTCTCTCCAATTTAGAGACAAGGATTTCGTGTGGGTAAATATAAAAGCATAGACGTGACTTTCAAAGCAGTCTTAAGGTATAAACTTCAAGTCATGTGTTGTGTCCTAACTGTAGGGTCCTAACTCTAAGATGCATCTTTTCTCAAAACAGCAGCCTAAGTTGAAGTAAAGCCTGGAAGCTATTGAGTGATACGAAGCTTTAGACAGAAATGTCATATCCCTCTGAAATACAGAGGGAACTGCTGAAAAAAATATATTCTTTCTTTTGTCGGGTTATTAGCATAAACAGTTCTCCTCTTTTAAGACCAGATCTAATGAACTTGAGTGACCGACTGTGGTTGGGTTTTGTCTCCTCCCCCCTTCTATTTAGTGGTACTGTTATACTCTGCATGCACATGGCTCCAATACAGTTTTATCTACTTTTTGCAGTGGAACACAAGTGTAAGCCAGTAGGCTAAAATATGATACAGTGGTAGATGTTGGATCTTCATTGTCATAGCTTACAAAGCAAATGGACTGCCCTGGGTGTTGAAATATTCTAAGTTAATGCCTTACATAGTTATATGCAGGTAATCTGTCAAATTCTGGCTGTTATAAAGATAAATAAACATAGCCCAGTGATACAGAGTTTAAAAGAGAAAGGCTTTTTATACTGAGTTATCTTTTAAAGATGCGTTTGCCAGAAAACTTACCCATTGGATAGAAAGGAATGAATATTTTCATAGTATTAGAAAATCTGTTCTTCTGTCTCTTTACCTGTCTTTTTCTCTTCATTAGCTATGACTAAACAGTAAAGAAATCCATTCAGCTGTGGTAGTATCAATATAGTGGTCTTTCTTTTTCTTTCTGCTAGTGTTACAGTAGTGTTTCAAGAACATTTAAATTCTGCTCAAAGCTCTAAGTGATCTTTTTGGCAGCCTTATGTGCATTTACATTAACTGCTGGGTTGTAATAGTTTTCAAATGGATTATCTTAAAGTGAATTTCTTTTTTTGATACATATTTTAGATGAGTATTTGTGTCTTAGAGTTGGGGCTTTATTTCAATTCTTGTGCTTTTACCTAGCTAACGTTAAGTTGGTTCTAGGAAGATACTTCCTCGTGCGAGCTCGGTGAATGAATGCTGAACCTAGCCTGGAGGTTCAGAAGAAAATCAGCAGGTAGAAATAATGACACTGGGCTTGTACCTTTGATGCAAAGTGTTTCATCTGATTAAACATAAACATCTACCTGGAGCGTGCAGTATACTGCAACTGAATGTCAGCCTTGCTGCTAATGGAAGTTCCTTTTGATGCAAGACTTTGCTGTATTTGACCTGAAAAGCCTCCTAACTTTCTCTGTTAGCTCAAAATACAGTTTTTCACTGTGACCATTCTAGAGACGGACAACGGACAATATTGCCTATTGAATTTTCTTTCTGTTACTGGAAACCATTTGGATTTAGGATGCTAAGGAGGTTTGCAGTAGGATGTGTCCTTTTGTATATTTTGGTTGTAGTTTAGGATATGCTTACATTTGTATTGCTTATAAAGCATTTTTGTTATTGAAACACTAGAGAAATAGCCTATTAACTGTTCTCTTTTAGAGAATACTTACTGAAGTGGATCAGCTTCTGCTTGGTATGGAAAACCGTTTCACTTAATCACACTGCTTTAGTTTATACATGTTTTCTAAGAACTGAGTTGTGTTTCCAGCACTAGAGGGAGGAAAGCTCAATATGCATGCTTGAGAACATGCTGAAGAGCATGCATGGTGGAATTCTGGGAGAGGTGAAAACTGAAGAGGGTGGTGGGCATTACATAGCTACGCAGTTTCAGATCATATAATCTTGTACAGTTCAGCCAAGTGCAAATTTACCCCCCCCCCCGCTTTTTTTTTAAATCTTTTTGAGATGGTTTGAGAAGATGGAAGATGGACAGAATTACTTCAAGTGAGAAAGTTCAGAAAACTGTGATGGGCAGCTGAGGTAAATAACCTTCTGATGTGGTTCAAACTGAAAAAGACATAAGATTAAATCCATGGCAAGGCAAATATAATCTAGTTTTATAGTTATGTAAGACTGTTTAAAGTGGGTCATCAGTGTTGGGGAAAAACATGCCTTCGTTTCCAGGCTTCTTTTTCTTCTTTTCGTTTTTAACATACCAAATAAGGATTTTTCTCTCCTCCCCTTCCCACACTAGAAGGAACACTTTCCTCTAGGGATAAAGATAATATGAAGCTAAATATATCACTTGTCTTTATTCTCCATTATGTTGCTTCAGCGGTAATCACTTGTTTGAGATTTACCTTCAGAGATTCTGCCTGACATATGGTGACATGCATAGCGAGTGTATGCAAACATATAGTAATTCAAAATTCATTCTTTACTGCAGTTTGGTTTTAGTTTACAAATTACTATTAACAATGGAAGAGATTTTGTAAGCATTAATCTACACACTTAGGGAGAATTTCACCTTAATTCTTTATTATGTGTGTGAGATGGGGAAGCAGCAGCTTAAGATCCTGCTTGAGAGTTGGGGTTGTTTTGTTTTCTAGTTTCAGATGATACATAGGAAAGTTAAGTTTCTCTTCTTTGAATGTACCACCCTTTTCAGGGAAGGAGGTGAAGTTTGCTAGAATTTGAGAGCCATGACCTCTGTGGCTTAGTTATGGATTTTTGGTTGATGTTCGTTTGGGTTTTTTTCTGAAGCACCATCCAGAAGAATCAGAGGAAAGAGAAGAACAATTGAATGCTTCTGTAGGAGAAGGAGGCCTGAGAGAGAACAGCTACAGAGGGATTTTAACTATGAAGGGAATGGCTTCTTTAGCAGCAGTTTAGTACTGAGATAGAAAGGGGCGTGCACACAGGTGTCCTCTAGACATCTGAAAATGTTGACATAAAAACCTCAGTTATCTCACAAACTTTTCTTATACTGTGTTTAAATGGCTGGGGAAAGGACTGAAATATTTACTTGCCCATTCATAATGGGACCCACACAATGATGAGTAAAAAGTACATACTGCTGTAAATAATGTTCAGACTGTAGCTCCTCCTTTGATATTCTTGACTCTGTTGGAATTGGCATAATTGGTTGCCAGCAATGTGAGTTGTGTCCAGAAAATCCAGCTTGCAGCCTCTGATGATTGAAAGAATTTATTTTGACTTTTACTCAGCATCTAAGTCCTATTAAGCCAGCTTCTAGTTCATCCTGTATTTAAATTCTTTATAGGAGTTGACAGTAAAATTTTTCAGTTCATGTTGAAAACTGCATATTGGCAAATAAAGAGGTAACCATCTTAATACACATCAAATGAGCATCTATACAAGCTTTATGTGGAGCCTTTGATCAAGTACTTGATCATAAGTCATGATGTCAGTATGCTGAACCAGAAGAGGACAACAGAACATTGGTGGAAAGGATTCCTGCAATCTTGGTGGAAGGGCTAATTCACACTGTCTGAACCTGGTTAATCTAAACAGCCAAATCAGCTTTGTAGTCGAAATAGTGAATTACTTCTTGACCACCTTATTTTGACTGAAGTGTCTATGGAACACTCGGATTATTTCCATGGGCAGATGTGAGGAGGCAGTGAGCTCTGTTTGGAGAAGTCTGATGGCACAGGTGGATCCAGAATAGCTCATGTCTTCCTGGCCTCATCCTGTCGCACTCAGAAATTTAAGCCATGCATACTGAATCACATGTTCTGCATGATTTACATTTATCACATCACAAAACCATTTCCCCCTTCACACTCTCCGCTATTTTGACTCTACTGCAATGGCTTCTTTTACCAAAAATGGCTGCTGGTAAGCATAAGCACTTTTTTTTTTTTCCTAAATTATTATCCTTCATAATCAGAAAGAGACTGAAAATTTGCTCATACTATATTAGGAAGCACTGCTGGGTTGAAAAAGATGTAGCTTTGAACTTTGCTGTAGAATACTGTAGAGTGTGGAGAAAGGGAAAAGTAGCAATAAAAGCACATACTAATTTGAGTTTAGGAAAGTCAGGTCCTTCCATAGTCAGTACAGAGGATGAAGCTGTTGGGGTTGCTGCTTTGAATCATTCCACAAAAGGGGAAGAAGAGCTAAACTATATGGGTCCTTGCTGCCAAAACATTACAATTTCTCCTTTTCAGTTTCCGATACGCACCTGACCCATCTGTTAGACAGTTTGGTTTGCAAAACAAGAAGAAACCTAATGTAAGAAAAAGGCTTCATTTGTTTTTATGATCTGAATCGGCTCATAGAGAGATCTGTTGATTTGGCACATGGAGTGCAAAGGAGGGTGTGAGACTGAGTGGTTTAAAGCAGTAGGATGTAAAGTGTGGAGTGGGATTAGCCCAGTTTCCAGCTGGACCCTTGCATGTGGGTCTCAGGGCTTCCAAGGGCCCCAGCTGTCTTCACTGCCTACAGAGGGACAAAGTGACCTGCAACTCCCCCTTGAGCTGTGGTGACAACAGTGGCTGCTGTTGTCATATTTGAGCATTACCTTTCTCTTTGCCTTCTTTCACCCCAATGTCATCTTGTTTTTTGGGGGGGGGTTGGGGGGGGGTGTGTTTTTTGTTTTGGTTGGTTTTTTTTTTGTTCTTGTTGTTGTTTGGAAACAGAAGATGTAGTCTTAGTAAATCTTTGTACCTTATTAAGTCAGTAACTAAATGATGGAAGGGTTTCTGTGTCAAAAAAAGGCCAAGTCTGACTTCTCAGTTGTTTCAGTGGTGTCACTGCTATCTGCACTGCTAATACCACAAATTTATTTTTTTTATAAACAATTCCTCAGAAGTAGGGAGTACCCAGAATTTTTTGCTTTAAGGCTATGTTCAAGAGCACACTTGAAATATATTGCAGAATGAGAGTGCCTTACCACACCTGTAGAAGTGTCAGAGTTCAGAGCCAAGCCTAGCGAAGCTTCCTCACTTGTATCACATCTGTGTTCTTTGCATTTTGGCAAGCAGTCAAAAACAGATTTAGCCCTTTACAGGTATTAAGCATTGCCCTCAGAAGTCATAACTGAAAAGACTGTGTCCAGTGTATGGTGTGAAATTAATCAAAAGGAAAGAAAATTAATGACCTGCTGCGGTGCCATCCATCAGGATATCGCTCAGCAGGTGGGAAATTAACTTGCCTTGACTGTGGATTAAATTTAACAGCGTGACGTAAAACTACGGAAACTGTTTCCGTTATTACTAGGGAGCAAGCGTTTTTAAAGATTCCAGCCTAATGAACTGCTTACGCCATACACTGGATGGTCCCATGATTATTTAATAGCATGAGTTTAGATTATCTTCCCTAAGAAGATCACATGTTACTGTATCAGTAAAAATTGTTCAAGGCAGGGCACAGAAACGCACTTTTAATTTCTGTAATTACTGTGCACCAGATGGTGTATACTTTTTTTCAAGCGCAAGTACTTCAGCTCAAATATAAGCATTGTGATATTTATTTAAAATTCATCAGATTTTAACCTAGGTGAGCAAAATTCTCTTGTTATGACCCATTATGATGACCTTCAAAGAAATATGTAGGCAAAACCTCGCTATTGTTATAGTTACAAAAAAAGCCTTGTTTCTTTCTCTTCAGATCTAAATTATGAGGCTAGTAAAACTACCCACTAATGTTAACTACCCACGACACACTAACTCAATTTTGCAGTATCTAATATTAGATTATGTACTTAAAGCATTTGATAAATCCTAGTTAATTTAAACATTGGTTCTGAGAGAGCAGTACTACAGAGTTTCAAAATACAATACTAGTTATTAATAGCTCAAGAGAAATGAGGAATGAAGGAAATCTATTTCACAGTTTAAATTTAAAGATCTTGATATTCTGCCAACTATTTTTTTCTGTCCCATCCCATTTCCTTATGTGTATGCGCTTTTTCCTCTACAGTTGCCTCCTCTCCACCCCACCCCAAATTCTGAGTACACATTTCCTGGAGTTAAGGAAGTGTATTTTTGATTAGGATGAAGACTTAGTTATGACTTGCATGGTAGCTTTCTTTGAGGTAGAGCTGGCATAAGGCCATTCATGTATTTTCAGGATAGGGTCTTCACAGTATATTGACACATACTTCATTAACTGCTCTTCAGGAGTTGACTCATTCAACCTCTTATTAAGGAGCTTCTGTACTTTGCAAAAGCAGTACTTTTTTGTTTAAATATTGCTGATCAGAAAGCT